CTACCCCCCCCCAGCCTGTTGCTGAGGCTGCTTCCTCCATGCTCCCAGACTGAAACTAACTAACTCTCCTCCAGCCCTGCCCCCCAGCCCGGGCGTCATCCATCTTCCTTTGTTCCTCTCCTTGGGGGGTAGCTGGTCGGGCAGGTTGAGAGATCCCTTTGCATAATGACCCATCCCTGTCCTTCTGGGCTGTGGTACCGGCGGCAGCCAGTGGGGTTACCACAGACCCATAGAAACCAGCAAGTTCCCCCCCACTACGTCACAACCCCACACCGCTCCCGGAGCTGGGATAGAGCCTGGAGTCCTGGCCTCGGTGCGGCTCCCCTGGCAGCCGTGGGACTCTGGGGAAGTCTCCCTGCGGGCACCGGGTCTGGCCCAGGGCAGAGGGGAACCCAGCCGTGCAGTTCTGCTCTCTGGCCACTAGGGGTCTCTGCTCCACCGGGGAAAGCTGGGACCCTGGTCACAGGCCAGACCAAGCTGGAGCTGGAGGGTGGGAGAGCGGGGCCAGCCCCTCCCCCGTCACACGCTGCCTGCGGGCCCCACAGATCCCAGCCCAGACTCACCCCCTCGCTCTGCCCCACAGATGTTCCTGCACGTGGCCGAGGAGGTGGGGAAGGAATATGGACTGGAGCCCGTTCAGGTGTGTTGGCTTTTCCCCCCTCACCTGCCCTGCCCCCCCCACCCCTCTCCCCAGGGCATGGGATTTTCCTGCCCCACGCATCCCTCTTGCTCTAGTCAATGGGATCTTCCTGCCCCACGCATCCCCCTTGCTCTAGTCAATGGGATCTTCCTGCCCCACGGGATCCCCTTCCCCAGTGCGTGGGATGCTCCTTCCCCAGGCAACCCCCTCAATACATTCCTGGGGGTTCCTCCTCTCTGTCCCAACCTCCCAGTGACCCCCCCTCCCCTCCTGTCTCCCCTGCAGCACCTGGACCTGCTGGTGCGGGACTGGACCAGCTCCCAGCTCCTTGGAGCCGAGGGCGGGGAGCAGCATCTGAGAGACGTCCGGGAGGTGAATGTGGGGCTGGGAATGGCACATGGGGCCTTTGCCCTCCTGGGGAGGGGGAGGGCTGGCTCCAATCCGGCCCCAGGGTGGGAGCCTGGCTGGCTCGGGGGGCAGGGGGGAACCCCCGGGTATTTCCCTCTGGTGGTGTCTCACTTTGCTGATCCCCTGGCTCTGGCAGGACCTGGCGGCGACGTCTCCCTGCAAACACCCCAAGGCCCTGGCCGTGCTGGGCAGAAGCAGCAGCCGCTGTTACCTGATGCCCTGCCCTGGCAAGCGGATCGCGACTGGCAGCGCGGGAGCCCTGAGAGGTAACGGGCTGGGAGAGCGGCTCTGGGCCTGCCCCACGGGGCGTCTCTGTCTCTCCCGAGTTGTGGGGGAGGACGCTTGGCCCCGAGTTCATTGTCCATCTCCCCCCGGCAGACATGGACGAGGATTTCCGGGAGGGCCTGAGGGACTACGTCACTGCCCTGGTGGGCTCGGCCGGGAGACACGTCAGGAGGGACCAGCGGGGGGAGCCGCTCACCCGCCGCCAGGATCAAGGTCAGGGGGGACTGGCCAGCTATGGGTGGGGGCTCAGCAGGGGGTGCTCTCCCCTGGCAGGCAAGGCTGGCCCAATGCCCCAGGGTGGCGCTAGGGGGCGCTGTGGGGGCAGGGAGCAGAACTGGTCCAAGCAGGGGGCGCTCTAGAACTTCTTTGATTTCTTTCTTTCGGTCTTCACCGAGAAGTCTGTAGGAACACCTAACCTAGTGAATGCCAGTGGTATGGGTGGGGGCTCAGCAGGGGGTGCTCTCCCCTGGCAGGCAAGGCTGGCCCAATGCCCCAGGGTGGCGCTAGGGGGCGCTGTGGGGGCAGGGAGCAGAACTGGTCCAAGCAGGGGGCGCTCTAGAACTTCTTTGATTTCTTTCTTTCGGTCTTCACCGAGAAGTCTGTAGGAACACCTAACCTAGTGAATGCCAGTGGGAAGGGGGTAGTTTTAGAAGGTAAAATTAAAAAAGAACAAGTTAAAAATCACCTGGAAGAGTTAGATGCCTGCAAGTCACCAGGGCCTGATGAAATGCATCCTAGAATACTCAAGGAGGTGATAGAGGAGGTATCTGAGCCTCTAGCTATCATCTTTGGAAAATCATGGGAGACAGGAGAGATTCCAGAAGACTGGAAAAGGGTAAATCTAGTGCCTATCTATAAAAAGGGAAATAAGAACAACCCAGGAAACTACAGACCAGTTATTTTAACGTCTGTGCCAGGAAAGATAATGGAGCAAGTAATTAAGGAAACCATCTGTAAACACTTGGAATGTGGCAAGGCGATAGGGAACAGCCAGCATGGACTTGTAAAGAATAAATCATGTCAAACCAATCTGATCGCTTTCTTTGATAGGATAACGAGTCTTGTGGCTAAGGGAGAAGTGGTGGATGTGGTATACCTAGACTTTAGTAAGGCATTTGATAAGGTCTCGTGTGATATTCTTATCAATAAACTAGGTCAATACAACTTAGATGGGGCTACTATAAGGTGGGTGCATAACTGGCTGGATAACCATACTCAGAGAGTAGTTATTAATGGTTCACAATCCTGCTGGAAGGGCATAACAAGTGGGGTTCCGCAGGGGTCTGTTCTGGGACCGGCTCTCTTCAATATCTTCATCAACGATTTAGATATTGGTATAGAAAGTACGCTTATTAAGTTTGCAGATGATCCCAGTCTGGGAGGGGTTGCGACTAATCTGCAGGATAGGGTCATAATTCAAAATGACCTGGACAAATTGGAGAAATGGTCTGAGATAAACAGAATGAAGTTTAATAAAGACAAATGCAAAGTGCTCCACTTAGGAAGGAACAATCAGTTTCACACACATAGAATGGGAAGCGACTGTCTGGGAAGGAGTACGGCAGAAAGGGATCTAGGGGTTATAATGGACCACGAGTTGAATATGAGTCAGCAGTGTGATGCTATTGCAAAGAAAGCAAACATGATTCTGGGATGCATTAACAGGCTTAAGACCCGTGAAGTCTCCATTGTGATTTCTTGTGGTTTCTTTGCAGAAACTCTGTGCCCTGATGAAGAAGCATCGCTCTGGCTTCTCCTCCCCCTCTCAGGTACCTGCTCCGCCCAGCTCTGCCTCTGACGTGACCACGGGGCCTGTGCCCCCTTGTGAATTCACTTCCTGTGTAGAACTGCCCCCTACTTGTGTCTTACTGCTGTTGGCTCGCCCGAAAGGCGGCTGCAGGTCTGTGTCAGGGAAGCCATCTCTGTGTGTGGGCGCTGTGAGCTTGTGCAACAGCCCCGCCCAGAAGTGGCTGCACCTCAGCGCTGGGTGAACCACTCCCATGCAGTGTTGTGTGTCGCTGTTCCCAGATGCCCTGACCCAGAGGTGGCTGCATCTCAGGCGTGTGTTACCGCTTGTTGGAAAATGTCTGATCATTTTTTTTTTTTTTTTTTTTTAGAGAAATTTGAGTTTCCAGATACTTGAAAAGCCAAAATAGTTTGCTCGGGCAATGCCACTGCGGAGACTCATGGGAATTGTAGTTTGGCTCAGCAGGCTCCCTGTTCTCCCCATAAGTCAGTTCTCTGATTGGACTGCATCTCCCAGGATGCACCACAGAAGTCCCTGACACTGCAGCATCATGGGGCTTGTGGTTTGGGTGCCTGGCTTCAGGCTGAGCTGCCGCGGTGGCTCATGGGAGTTGTAGTTTCATGCTGGCTCGTGGCTCACCCCACCTGGTCCTGCCTGCACAGATGGCCATCACCTTCCACAACGACAGAGTCCTGGACAGAGCCCGCGCCGACCACACTGTGATCCTGCTTGAGAAGGTGAGTCGGGGGCAGAGGGGGCTTGCCCCGGCCGGGGGAACTCGCGGGAACTTTCCCGGCCAGCCCAGTGGGTTTTGGGGCAGGAGATGGGAGCTGGAGTCTCCGATAAAGTCCTGCACCGGGAGCTGCTGGGGGGCTGGGTTTGCCCCCAGGTGCCCCATGTGGCCAGCTGTG